AGATTTAATATAAATTCTATGTAAGATTAATTGCAACAACTTTTGATAGGTAATTTTAAGTGATTCAAAGCAAACTCTTACTTCCTGAAGCATACTTGACATGTAAACTGTGTATTCATTTATTCAACAATTACTGAATGCCTACCATGTGCCAAGCACTGTTTTAGAGACCATGGATACAAGAAGGAACAAGGTCTCCCTCATGGAATTTATATTCTGCCTAATTAATTAAATGTTGTTTTAGCCTAATTTCTGTTTACTTTAGACATAGAAGTTACAGAGAAAGCCTGGAAATTAAAACCAACAAAAAAGAATTACCCCAAGAAAACTCTCCATTTTTCTTTTTTTTTGCATTGTCTTAGAAGACAGAATTACATGTGACATTCAACAAAAACCATCCTGACTTATCCTGTCATTCTCCTACTCAAGAACCTAGGCATGCTGGACCTTTCACATTTAGTAAATTCAAATTCCTTACTTTCTAGCATTTAAACAAGACTATTAACGAGTTTCCATAGCTTTCTTTTTTTTTTTTTTTTTTTGAGACAGAGTCTCACTCTGTTGCCCTGGCTGGAGTGCCGTGGCATTAGCCTAGCTGACAGCAACCTCAAACTCCTGGGCTCAAGCGATCCTACTGCCTCAGCCTCCCGAGTAGCTGGGACTACAGGCATGCGCCACCATGCCCGGCTAATTTTTTCTATATAGTTTTAGTTGTCCGATTAATTTCTTTCTATTTTTAGTAGAGACGGGGTCTCGCTCTTGCTCAGGCTGGTCTCGAACTCCTGAGCTCAAACAATCCGCTCGCCTTGGCCTCCCAGAGTGCTAGGATTACAGGCGTGAGCCACCGCGCCTGGCCTCCATAGCTTTCTAATCAAGCATTCTACTCATAAATTTTAGCCAGTATCACCAAAGAGATTCTCAGAAAATCTGTAGCTGTTAACTACCTTCAACCTTCCATAGCTTCTCAGCATGGTCCATGAACATCGTAATCACCAGGGGTGCTTGTTATGAATATAGATTCCTGCTCCCCACTCCAAACTAAATTACTCAATCTCTGTGACAGAGATAGGAACCTGCATTTCGATAGGCTCCCTGGTGACTCTAGTGTATAAGTTTAAGAATGACTGCTTAAGACCTGTCACAAATGACAATTCACAGAGCAGTACTTCTTAAACTACACTTTAAAAAAATTTAAGTAATTTCAACACTACCTACATTTAGTGGTCTCCTTTGAGAAAAACTTGGTAAACATACCTGAAATTAAGATGCATCTTAACAACTAAGAGTATCATGTGATTGTTTCTAACCAGGTACTCTTAAGAAATGCTTTCTCACCAACATTCTTGATGTACAGTGTGGAAAAATATAGACAACTTTGAATTAAAAAATAATTTAGAAGAATCAGATACTGAATGTAAAGCTTTAAAAATACCCTAGCCATTTTATAATTGGCTTATTTTTTCCTTGTAATGTACATTCAAAAGTGATATGATAAAAATGTATGTTTATCTATACCTAAAAGATGTTTTCTAATAAGTATAAAATAAAAACTATCAAAGGCAAAAATAATGTATACCCCAGACCCCCCCAAAAATTCCAATGATCCCACTTCCAAGAATGTATGTGAATGAAAGTATCCAACAACAAAAAGCTATGTACACAAAGATATACGTAACGCTGTTCAAGAACAAAAGAAAAAACGAAGATTACCAAAATGTCCAATAATGATGGATAGGTCACAGAAATTATGGCACATTAATTAAATCAACAGAGTACTGTAACATTAAAAATTAAGAAAACTATTTAGAGAGTGAAAATGTTTATTTCATAATGCTAAGTAAAAAGAAGAATACAAAAGATATGTAAGTAAAAAGAAAATTATAGTCTTTGCTGAGGGTCACACTGAGCTGCCAGCTGCATCAGGGTGTCATTAGGAGTCAGCACCACAGCAGAAGATGTCAAGATCAAAATCAAGAACTACAGGATTGCCTCTCCCCTTTATTTTTTGAGACAGAGTCTCACTCTGTCACCCGGGCTACAGTGCAGTGGCATCAGCCTAGCTCACAGCAACCTCAAACTCCTGGGCTCAAGTGATTCTCCTGCCTCAGCCTCCCAAGTAGCTAGGATTACAGGCCTGTGCCGCCACACCCAGCTAATTTTTCTATTTTTAGTAGATACAGGGTCTTGCTCTTCCTCAGGCTGGTCTGGAACTCCTGAGCTCAAGTGATCCTCCCCCGCCTCCCAGAGTGCTAGGATTACAGACTGTGAGCCACCACGCCCGGCCTGAGGACTGCCCCTTTTGATGGCCACTTCTCCAGCCAGAACCAGACCATGAACTGTTGGCATAACTACTCGCACTTCTCACTGCTGTGAGAAGGTAATGACTGCTAAAGTGAGGGATGTCTCTATGTGCGAATGGTACTGGTATAAGTTCCTCTGCCCCATATCCTGGTCTCAGCTAGAGACAACCACTAGGCAGAAGGTATGTTTCCTGGGAAGATCTGAACTAGTCCCACCCCACCTCTCTGTCCTCCATCCTTCTCCCAGTGTGGTAAAGAGGGGCCTGGGCACATGATGATCCCTACCCTGGGACCCTGAATCATGACTTAACTAATAAAAACTTATTGGAAAAGTGTAAAACAAAACAAAAAAGGAAAAAAAAGAAAACTCTATGTCTTGCTTTGCAATTACTTACTAACAAAAAGATGGCAAAAGAATATTAATATTAGACAAAAGAGTACCAAGACAAAATGCATTATAAGACTAGAGAAGGCCATTTAAGTAACGCTAAATACTTTGATTCACCTCAATTTAAAAACCACCAGGATAATAATTCGCTACAATTTTAAACTTGGAAATAACTTATAAAATAGACTCAAAATACATAAAAAACTGATACAGAACTACCTGAAGAAATAGTCAAATGCACCATCATAGTGGAGATTTTTACACAATTCTCTCACTAAAAGATCAAGAAAACAAAATCAATAATGGGAGATCCGTTAAAAAACAAATCACAGATATCACTTCACACCATTAAGATGTCTACTATTTTTAAAAACCACAGAAAATAACAAGTATTAGCAAAGATGTAGAGAAATCAGAACTGTGCAAGTGTGAGACATTCAAAAAGACTATCCATAGTAGTAACGATCTACAGTAGCAAAAACTGGAAATAACCTAAATGTTTGTCAACAGAACAGATAATTACATTGTGGAATTTCTTTTTTGTTTTGCTTGGGTTTTCTTTGAAACAGAGTCTCTCGTTCTGTCACCCAGGCTAGAGGGCAGTGGCACAATCATTGCTCACTGCAAAACTCGAACTCCTGGGCTCAAGCAATCCTCCCATCTCAGCCCTACCAAGTAGCTGGGACTACAGTCGCATGTCACCATTCCTGGCTATTGGAATTTCATATAATGGAATATTAACTATACATAAGAGAAAACTTTTATCAACATGGATGACTCTTAAAAACATGTTAAAGGCCGGGCGTGGTGGCTCACGCCTGTAATCCTAGCACTCTGGGAGGCTGAGGCAGGCAGATCGTTTGAGCTCAGGAGTTCGAGACCAGCCTGAGCAAGAGTGAGACCCCGTCTCTAATAAAAAAAAAACAAACAGAAATTAGCTGGACAAAATATATATAGAAAAAATTAGCTGGGCATGGTGGCGCATGCCTATAGTCCCAGCTACTTGGGAGGCTGAGGCAGAAGGATTGCTTGAGCTCAGGAGTTTGAAGTTGCTGTGAGCTAGGCTGACACCACGGCACTCACTCTAGCCCGGGCAACAAAGCAAGACTCTGTCTCAGGAAAAAAAAACAAAAAACAAAACATGTTAAAAAACAAGTTACTGAAAAATGCATACAGTATAATTCCATGTATATAAAGTTCAGATACATATAAAACTAAATATACAGTCTAGGATATATATGTGTAATAAACTATAAATAAAAGCAAGCGAGTGGTAAACAAAATTAAGTATACTAGTTACTCTTTGAAGAAAGGGAGAATTCCATTAGGAGGAGCATGTATCAGTCAGTATACATAGAGGATTTTAAAGATGTAAAGGCAATCCTGTATTTGCTAAGTGAAAAAAAATGAGAGATTTACTATTTTTTTAAATACTTAGCAGAAACGTTACATGTGTGCCTGGAAAATTTTATAAATTTTTAAAATTCCATGCACACTCATCAAAACTATCTGAAAAATGTATTTATATGCGAACAAAGGTTAGCAGGAGATATAAAAAATAAATTTTAAATATTTTGGGGTAATGGGTTTGGGATATTTTCCTTATGTTAACATTTTCTTTAATATCTTTTACAATAAATATTATTTTTTAAAGCATTTTTAACTACAATGGCAAACACCTACCTGATCACTAAGCAAAAGCTGATTTCCTCCTTGATACAACGCATCACAGAGCATGTCCACATCATTATTCAGTTTGGACAGAAAGAAAGAATGTTCTTGAGCAGATAGTGCCAACTGATCTTGTACTAAAGAAACATCCTGTTTCAATTTCTTGGCCACTTCCTCCAGGTTTCCATGAGTTATAAACAATTCTTTTTTCTTATTCTCTCCCTCTAAAAGTTGATAAAGCCTAAAATACGACAAAAATAAAAATTACAGGGAAAAATTCTCAAGTACAGTTTTCAAAATTACAATCCACTGTATCGGGGCATTTGTGGGGATAGCTAAATAACAACTTATAAAAATACATTGCTAAAATCAAGCAACTGAAACCATTCTCACTGAAATACTATGTCAGTATTTAGTTTTAGGCATAAAATTTTTCTTGACTTTGCCATTAACCTACTTCACACAAAACGCATTTCAGAGATCCTCCCAGGGAAACACTTATTTCACGGACTATATAACATGATGTAGTAGGACCAGCAATGAATCTGAAACAGAAGACCTAGGTCTGAGTTCTCTATTGTGTGACACCTAAGGTAAATCAATCTCTGAGATTTAATTTCTACATCTTAATACCTACCTATTTTACAGGATTGTGGAGGGATTAAAAGAGAAAAACTAAAAATGTAAACGATGTAAAAATAAATGTAAAATTAAAACAATGTAAAATACAAAATGCAAACAATAAAAAGCTACACGAATAGCTTATAAATACTAGCAAACTTTTGCTATGCCAGTCCTATCCATATTTTGTTGGCAAATTAAAATCTTTTTTGTTTTTTTTTTGAGACAGAGTCTCACTCTGTTGCCCGGGCTAGAGTGCCATGGTGTCAGTCCAGCTCACAGCAACCTCAAATTCCTGGGCTCCAGCGATCCTACTGCCTCAGCCTCCCAGAGTACTAGGATTACAGGTGTGAGCCACCACGCCTGGCCCGCAAATTAAAATCTTGATAAGCCATTAGGCCACTTTAATACTTCAAACAATTGGCCAGATATGGTGGCACAAGCCTGTAGTTCCAGCTAACTGGGAGGCTGAGCTGGGGGTGGTATCACTTGAGCCCAGCAGTTTGAAGGCTGCAGCAATGATCATGCCGCTGCACTCCATCCTGGGTGAGAGTGAGACCCTGTTTCTTTTTTTTTTT